TTCACCCCGCAGACGCTGCACCCTGATATCCTGCGAAAGCAAAAGCCTCAGACCTGGCATCATGTCTTCCTCCCAACATACGGCCGGGCCGAGGCGGACGACGCGCAGCGTTTAAAATTAGGTATGAATTGACTATAGTGGCAGACCTGATTACTCAGACACCCGTATTTTCATCGGATCTATGACTCCCAAAACCTCGGAAAGACCCTTTTCGGGCGCTTGTAGATAAGATGCCTGCCAAGCCGATGTTATTGCCGATTTGCCGGTCCTACAGCCCAAAAGAAGCTTCTGATCAGGGCCAGACCCATACGGTGCCTGTAGGCATTGAAACAAAAAACTTTCCACTATATGACACACAGTGGAAACAACCCGACCCTGGCCGAAGGTCGCGATAGCGAGAAGGCTCTGCAGGCAGGTGGCCGCCCATCCATGCCAGCTTTCCGATGGACTCAGTCAAGGGCTAGCGGACGGCAACTAGCCCATAACATGTCGACATTGCATGCCTGAGAACTCGCCATGCGCAGATCTTGAGTTATCCCCTCGCGACCCTGCTAAACCCTAGGAGTTTAGGTAAACCCTAAACCCCTAAACCCTAAACCCAACGGAGAGCAGGCCTAACCGCAGAATCTGCCCTCTGAGGCCCAGGCAAACTGGCTCTTGTCAGCCGGAACTTTCACGGCTTTCGATTGGAGGGGCTGGTTCGGTCCCAGCCAGAGCTCCACCACGGCCTCTCAAACAAGGCTCGACTCGACTTCGGGCTTTCTGCTCATACTACAACATATAGCATAGCATACCATAACATTATTTGTGTTAAGATGTAACCTGAGCCGAAGAGCCTCTAAGTTTTTTTTTTGCGACGGGTTCGAGTAGAAGCAACGTATGTTTAGGCCCCAGGCACACCAGATCAACAGTCTTTTTGGGCCCAAGCAGACAGTCTTAGTGACCCTGATCTAGAGAACTAGCCGGCAAGCAGCTGGCTTGAGGATGGAGAACACGAGCAGCGCTGTGAGCCCTAAACCCTAAAAAGGCCTTGTAGTAACCGTTCGTCACCCTTATGGAACCCCATCAAGGAACCCAAACAAAGGAAACCCTAAATTACCCTTTCAAGGAACCCAAACATGCGCAAACAAAGGGGAAGTAATAGTAACAATACTGCTAACCTTAAAGTCCTGCTAAGAATGACAATCAGAAATGGTTCCCTAAACCCTAAATCCCGTCGTAATTATTATAGCAACAACAGCGGCAGGCCGTCATCCCGAACTCCACGGGCTGCCGATCCGCAAAAATTTCCAGGGTTGACACGGACAGGGCCATGTCCTTACCCACGGTTTCAGCACTCACAACTGGGACAAGCCTGGCGAGGTTCCAAGTACGACGACGAAAGCACATTACCCACGGCTTAGGGTTTGGGGGAAAGGGGGCTTGAGCGTATTGGTGCAGGAACTGTGGGTGGGTTGATTTGAGATTTGGGGTTTGGAATTCAGGGTTTAGGAGCGTCTTGTAAGTAAACACGCCCCAAACTTTTGAGGCCTTGAACCCTATGAGGTGTAATTAAGTCAGTTCAATGAGACCGGAGACAATTCTCGCAGGAGATTGCAAACATCTTCCAAGACTCAGTCATGCAAGCCGAAAAAGAACTGGAGCACGCTGAGGTCGAGACTTCAAAACTCTAGACAACCACCAGGAACAAAGCCTAAACCCCAAACCCTACACCGTTAAACTTTAAGCTTCTAAAAGCCACAAACACTCAACATTCAGGTGGGCTGCCACGAGCTGTTCCATCCGGCGCTGCATGGTGGCTGCACCGAGACCCGCAGCGCGACTGGCGGCCGCAGTGCGCGGATCCAGCAGCCTGGTCTTGTGATGGCCGGGCATAAGATCAGGGTTACCATATACAGGATACCAAAAGGCCAAAAGGGATACCACAAAAGGGCTCTGTTAGAATCATACCATACAGGATACTACTACTTATCAGGGAATTGCAGCCTTGCGTGCAGGTGATACTCGGCAGGGTTCTCTGGAGGTTCTATAAGGGCTAGCAGAAGTTTCGCAGGGGCTCATAGGCTCAAGGCTTCTGGGGCCTCGGGTTCCGGTGGAGCTTCAGGGCAAAGGACGTAAACCGAAATCAAGTCGTATGTATATCTATGCAAGTATACATACATACATACCTACATACATGCAAGCTCACTCATCTATAGAAAAATGCTGGATGCTGAAGAATCGGAGCAAATCTCAATTCTGTGGGGGATGCTATCTGCAGTGCTTTGCTCGGAGCCACTAAGACAGGCTTGGAATGTCACAATAGTGCTGATTCTTGAGGACATGTTGCCACATATGAGGTCGTGTCAGGCGATACTCGGCTCCACAAGAAAACCTGAGTAAGGTGAAGACTGAAAGAAGCCAGCCCAGCATAGCAAAGCAAAGTAGCACAAAGCAATCATTGTGTGGGCCATTATAACAGTGACGCGGATGGCCGTTTTCTAAGCCCTTTCTTTCGCGAACCCGCCTGCGCTGACGGCGCACCATCTGGAGCTTTGGTGCAGGAGCGACCTTCCTGGCATGGAAATTCGACTTGGCTCTCGAAGGTCTTCAAGACTTTGAAGGGCAGGATTGTATGGCTCGGTCTTCTTCCCAAGGTTGTCCTCAAAACCATAACTTCCACTCCGGGAGATCCGCCTCTTCTTCTATGGCGATCATCTCCGTTCAGGTGCATACATGTCTAAGTCAGCTACTGGAAAACCTACTCTTCACCCATGTGCATGCCCCCAGAACCCTCAAGGCTGTTCTACCCCAAAAAAACCCTGTCCCTATAGACTACCCTAGAATTCCCATATTCATATTCCCCTATATTCGGCGATGTAGTACCCTATACTACCCTGTAGTAGCCTACAATGAAGTTTGCAGTACCCTAAACTACCTCAGAAACCTCTGCTATCTCAAGACCGAAGTCCCCGCAGCCGCCTCTTGCCCGCAGCCGGATCGGGACCCTTCGCACCTGAAATGCATTGTGCACCAATAAGAACTGCCGGCAATCGAACTCGAGAGATCGGTTGGGGCTTGGGCGTTGGGGCGTTTAGGGCTTTAGGGGTTTCGGGAGCCAGACATTGTAGACTCCTAGTCGGCACGTATCTTTTTGGAGAAGAAATGCGTCTTGAAGAGAAGCGGCACATAGCCAACACTAATCACAATGAGGGGGGAGTCTGACCAGCACCTCGCCAGGCATGGATCAGCAGTTTCTGAATCGGGCCGTAAAAGCATGCTTCCTATAATCCCGCTGCGCCCGATTTGCTTCATTAAGCGGTACTACGACCATGGTTGATCAAATGTGAAACCCTGAATCAACCTTTGTCCGGAAATTACTGTCGGGGGACTCGACAGAAGGGCACGCACTTCATTGGAGTCAGTGCCATCTGCGCCGCCGCTGTCCACCGCGGTGTCGTCCTATTCCACTGTTGGGGCTTGCGGCTCCCAAAGCTCGGCAAAGGAACGGTGTCTGGGTTGTGGGATGCTGTATCTGGTGTTGGGGTTTCGACGGCATGAGGTTCACCGTGTGCAGTTGCCGCTAACGAGGACCTGAACAAATGTCTTACGCTGATATGCCATGATGAGCTATGGTAGTTGAGACGGCCCGCTGCTGCCGGGCGAGGACGATGATAAGAGGCCAGTATTGGAATGATTAGCGTGCTCATCAGTCAGTAACCTGGCATCATTATCCTTATGATCATAACAAGGACTACGAACATGATCCTTTTCAGTATTACTACGTACTTGCTGCTTTCATTATCCGTGTTCTTCTTGTCAATTCTGATTGCCGATATCGCCTCCTTTGTGGTTGTGACAGCTATCTGCGTGATTAGACTTCCAGTATTCCAGTACTGTTGATGCTTATTGCGAGTTTACGGCGGAAGATGCCAAGTTTCCCACGGAGCCTTAAAGCTTCGCGTGTCGATGATTCTTAAAGCATGCTGCAAAAGCATCTGCGCGTTCTTTGGCCTCCGCCGTCATTTGCCCGACAGGCCCCGGTCTGCGAATGCGCATGTTGCGATGGGACATGTGTCCCTCCTGAAAAGCGCAAAAAAACTACTCTACCACATTGCCTCATGAAGCATCTTTTAAGTTTAACAGTGCTCATACTCTGTTCAAGCTTCGACCCCACAAACAAGCCTCTGCAAACCATACGTATCTCAATCCTGACGAACCCTGCAAACAGGGCTCTGTGCAAGTGGGTCATGTCATTTTACTTCGTCTTTCTTTCTTCAGTAGTTGATGTCAGACCCAACTGCGTCAAAGCCCCTTCGTGGCAAAAGCGAAGGGTATAGGTGAGGCTTTATTTTTCTGGTGGGACTGGAAATGAACTTGCGGAATTCGGGGCACGAAGCTCACGCGTGCAGGACAATTCATGATGGATGCCGGAAGCGGCCCGCTGCTGCAAGCCTTCACAGCCTCTTCAAGCGACCCAGAATATTCTGTAGAGCTTCATGCCCAAGGCCCCAAGTGCAGCAGTGCAGTCTATCAGGCTTCCACAGCAGCAAATCGAGTCCAGCTTGCCATCAAGCAATTGCCATTACATCAGTAGGGAACGAAAAGACTTCTATAAGGTGCGATGGAAATGAAGAAAGAGAGTCTATGCTAAGCAACGACTTACTTCCGTCCCCTATTGGGCCCATGGTCCGATCTGGAAACAGCTTTGAAATGTGGCACAGGGGCCGGCTGTACAAATGTCCCGCGCCAAGCTTGATCTGAACACATGGAGCAATGGCAAGGTTCGAGATGCCGCATGCAACACCACAATTCAACAGGATTGCATGTCGGTTGTCCACAATGCGAGGTTGTCTCGCAGAACTGACATGATGAGGACCACGTCTTTGTAGTGCTCTTCAGGGACGTCATCGATCTGGGTAAGTGCCTCGTCCAACGCTTTTTTGCCCATCTGCACAGCCGCCGAAGTCTGCCCCAGAATCTCGTAGTGAAAGGCCGCTTGACTTAGGCACATTCCCAAGCGAATGGGGTGCGTTGGCGAGAGACCCTCCTCAAGGCAGGACACGAAGCGACTGTGAACCCTTCCCACGCACGCCCTGGATTTGTTGCCATAGAATTCCCTGAAGATCTCGGCAACCAACCAACAAAACGCTAAACACTACATCCAGAGCCTACATGCCTGAAGCCAACGAAGCTTGCAACCATAAGGCATCATAGACCTGCAGCCTAAATCCCTTGATGCCCTCAAAGGTCCTGACATGCTGCATAGGCTTCCTGAGAGGCCCACTGCGCCTTCTCTCTGCACTCCGAGATCTCTGGGTGAAACTCCGCGATGTAGCGGTAATAATCCGCCCGCATCCTGTGATCACTTCCGCTTGAAGAGTGTCTACAGCAACACCCTTTTGAACCAGGAGCTGGGGCACATGAAGTGGAGCTCAGTAGTTAACCCTCTTTCACTCAGCCCTAAAAACCCAATTCTGCAAATGCGAAGATGGCTGAAGCGGGGCTTCTTCGAACCAGCGCTCCTGCTGCTTAGCAGAGAAGAGTAGACAAAGCACGCATCCCACAATCGTGCGAGTACCTATGACAATATACTTACTGCGCATATCTAGTGTCTGTGTGTATATACATATCTAGAAACAAGAGAAAGAGAAAGACACAGAGAGAGAGAGAGAGAGAGTGAGAGAGAGAGAGAGAGACAGAGTGAGAGAGAGAGAGGGAAAGAGAGACCGCAAACTTCCTCGAACAAATAATGCCTGGGTTTCTATACCTACCAAACAGGACAACTGAGCTTCTGCCTGACTGCAGCCGAGGATCTTGAGGTAAAATACTCGCGTCTCCTGGTGCGTGGCGTTGGGTAGGAGGTCCGTCTCTAGCATCCGCAGAACTTCCTCCTGAAGTGGCCATAGGGTCTAAAGGCGGCCATACGGGCATGGGCAGGATCGGCGCTGTGTGCCCACTCGGCTATCAGGACTTCGGAGGATGTATATACAGGAGCACATGTCTACACCTGTATATGTATTTGCATATGCGTATTCATTCGTTTGTCTTTTATGACAGTTGGAAAGACAGAGAGAGACTTATAGGAGCTGAGTACCCTAACCGACAAAGGTTATGTAACCTTTCAACTATGGTAGGCTTTTATCAACCCATAAAGGTTAAAGGTTACCTACTGAGCTACTAGGGAGAGGGAGAGAGAGAGAGAGAGAGTCAGTATATTAATATATAGATATGGATACTGACGTGGGATATGACAGGGCGCAGACAGCATCTCTCTCTCTCTCTCTCTATATATATATATATAGAGCTCTCTCTCTCTCTCAACTCCAAACCCCCTTTTCGACATCTAGAGCAGGTGCGGAAGTGAAGAGATTAATATGCCTGAAGATGGTGCCGAGCACGTGCAGCCTTCTGAAACTAGAACTCCGAAACCTGTTCCTTGTAGGGTCAACCTTCCAAGGCGCATCCTGTGGCTAGACCCTGCCCTGCGAGGATTTGTTGCGAACTTTGTTTGATTGAGCTGTTGCCGATATATGCTAGGTCTGCATAGGTGGTCTTGTACGAACCCAAACCCCTCAACGCCAGCTGTAGCGTGCCATCCAAGGTGCGCAGGTTCGCACTCCCGCAAACATCGCCTGCTAGCTTTGAGTGCTGACACGAGCAGCAAAGACCATGGGTATATTAACTAGCCAAGGCAAGGACACCCGAAACTCCCGAACCTAAACACCCTGAACCATTATGCACCGCAAGCCTTAAGCGCTCTCTCTCTCTCTCTCTCTNNCTCTCTCTCGCTCTCTGCCTCTCTCTCTTTCCTAGGCGCGAGAAACCTAAACCTTATACCCTAATATGCAAACCCCAAAGAATGCACTCTGAGGGCTCTTTTTGTCCGGGGCTTCGGCTCTCCGCTGGACTCTAGGCCCTAAATCCTAAACCGACTGGCTACCATCAGCCACTGATTTCCTATACCATCCTATACCCCAGGGACCCAACTTGCTCCTCAACTAGCGGTCTAGAAATTAGGAGCTATAGGGCTTCTAGGAGTTAGAAGCGGTACATCCCGTCAACCTCGGCTTGCGTTGCCGAGCAGTCCATGTCGCCTGTTTCTTGTACTCGGCTGCATAGGAGGCTTCCTCCAAGTGCCCCACCTCCGTCTCCTCAGTCATTTACTTCGAGCAACCGTGCCATGCGTGTAACCAAACGTAACAACATGTGTGTTTGATTTGTGCGTGTATGTATAATATAATATAATATAATATAATATAATATAATATAATATAATATAATATAATATAATATAATATAATATAATATCATATAATATCATATAATATCATATAATATCATATAATATCATGT